TTTAATGATAATTGCCACATTTCATGGATATGCACCAGGCACACAGCTGGAATCCAGGCAGTCTGGGTATGCTCATATCTGTGATAAATCTTAGGTTCTCATCGCTGTAGGACTGAATCAGAGAGTACCTTGCAGTCAGATGTTGTCTGCAAGGGGTGAAACAAAACTGTTTCCCTTGAAATTTGCTGGCTGATAGAGGAAGACGCCCAGTGTTCAGCGTTGCAGCGCCTGGACATGTGAAAACATTCGTCCCCGATGCATGGTGCACAGCATGTCTCCCGGCGGAAAGGCTGGGATTTGCTTTGGCACCCACACCAAGATGAGTAGCAATCTATGAGTGAGAATGAAGACGTGTCGGTGGGAGAGGGCATTATGAAAGCGGTGACAGAGAGGTGTAGGAATCCCAGGGAAAGCTTGGTGCATTGGAGCAGTTGCCCAGCCAGTGCGGCGTTTCTCTGCACATCTTGCGTAAGATGATGTAAGGTGACGAAGAGCTTAACTGTGATCAGTCCTGTTCTGCTGTTAATTACCAGTGACTGCATTGCTTTTGATAGAATTAGAGGAGTGTAAAACAAGTCCACAATTAAGTCTGATTTTGATCTTAGCAGCTTCAGCCAATATAAATGCAAATATAATTTGAGACCAGTTTAAATATTTTTAACAGTGTTGCTCAGGAAGGAAGAGAGCAGAGTAGTCAGTGGTCGGTCAGAACAAGATAATTTGACCTACTTCCATTTCAAAACCAAAAAACACTGACCACAGAGGTCTTACCTGCAGACTTAAGTTTTGTCTCCATCTTTCCTTTGTTCTAAACGGGGCAACTGCTGTATCCTCACCTTAATTCGGGAAGGAAAACTCATTCAGAAACATTGTGCACCTGATCCTTATTTGAAGCTAAGTCCCTTTACACTTTCACAGCAGGGGAAAGTACAGCTCTTTCCACTTGCATATACGTATTGCCAAGCAAAGCATGCTTGGTAGGAAAGGCACATCCTTTATTATGAATGCCGCAGCCGAGAGCAGCCTTTGCCACCCGTACTCAGCTGCTGAGTTATTAAGAGCTTCAGACTGTGTTACACAGAGAAAAAGATAAAAATAGGGTGTCTGACGCATGCATCCCATGTTGCACGCCAGGAAACAGAATCATTATACCACCGAGTACAGTATTCCAGAGCATGCGTGGAAAATATGCATGGATGTGAACGCGTGAGATCTTTCCTCACTAAGAAAAATACTCAGTCCCCCTTTTCCCCCATCACATTTTAGATCTGTCCTGTTCCACATTCCATTTACCTGTTGACAAATCTAACAACCTAGAGTACTGCAGCTCTGCCTTTACTGCTACCACTCCTCTTGTCATTTGCTGAATGATGTGACAGTAATATCACTCTCCTGTATTTTGGGAAAGAGAGCTACAGAATATTCTTGCTGCACCCAGCTGAGGGTGAGAAAAATCTTGCCCATTCCCCAGACATCTGCAGCACACTAGAAACTCCCAAAGCACAATGCTGTCTCTCACATAAATCATGCACTGGGTGCATAGTCTAAAATTAGTCATCCACAGTATGTGCCCCTTTAAATGTTAATCCTTGCATCGTTTTCTTTTATTGCTTCTGTTGGCATACACAGTTATGTGACATAATATAAAAGTAAATAATGTGATGCAATGGTTAAAACTCAAAGGGAAATATGTATCAGAGATCAGATGCCTTCTACTGCAGAATATGACGTAAAACTTGCAGTGACATGAGTGTAGATTTTGCCTGAGTGCAGCAAAATCAACCATGTAGTGATTACATTAGTTTTTCTGGATGTTTTTGACACTTCCCAGCTCTTGTTCAGTGCTGTAGCCACTACTTGTCTTCAGGCACAGGCGTAGCTGTTGGGGAGTAAGTGACTGTGGGTAATGGATCCAGAGCAAATCCTGGGATAGCTGTATGACAGAGCCTTTAAAAAACCACAAATATAAATTTAGTTTCAAGTTCACAGACCTTAAAAAACAATGCGAAACGTGCATCTGAGATCTTATTATTTATTTTTCAGCATGTGAACACTTCTCAGGGGAGGGAAGGTGAGCAAAGCTGAGGGCGTTCAATTGCCTCCTGGTAGGAAACCTGTGGGAAAAGCACAAGCTGAGACTCAGCAGTAGGTTAGGAGATATGGCAGCAGCCAAGTTCAGATTTAAAGATAAAGCCTGAAATAGCAGAACCCAGTGCAAGACCAACATTTTTTGACCCCTTTGCCCAGATTCAGTATAACATACGGGTACCTTGGTGTGCGATTTTGCTTTTGCTGAATTGAGGTTTGAGTTTCTCACTAGTCTATTTTTACCTTTTAACTGGCCTTGTAATTCAATATGTGTTTGTTTTAATTTTACACTCTCCATAAAAAGCACCGTCCATGACGAGTTGGAGAAGTGACCGCTGGTAATGCATAGAAATTTAATCAGCTGGTGTGTCACACTGTCTTACTTCTCCCCCTGCAAACCTGTGTGCCGCTCTCAATTAAAAATACCCTGTGATGCCTTGTGTCTCCTCAGTCACCTCAGCTTTGCCACTGAGGCTCTGGAGATGCCGAGGCAGGGTGAGATCAGCCCGGGCCGAATCCAGGTCACTCTGCCAGCCCTGCTCGTGCATGCCAGGGGCAGCAGTGAACAGTCCGGGCTGCGAAATGGTGGGGATGGGGTGGTGACGAGTAGGACAGTGGCTTCCCTGTGGCTGCTGGCTGTGCCAGGAGTTCGCCTGTGATCCCCGGTGGCAGCTCAGGCTGTGTGTCCACCCACAGGGGTTAAAGCCAGAAAGGCCTCTTTTTGCAGCGTAACATAAGTGTGGGTGTCAGGGGTGGTGGGAGGCGGGTGTTCATGTGGGGCTGAACAGAGGGCAGCATGCGGGCTTGGCTCTGCTTTTCTCTCTCCGTCATTTTACCGATACCGCAGATTTTCAAACTACTGCTAATGTGTTGTCAATTTGACAACACTGATATGGAACACACACCCCTCATCATATCACAACCCCCTGGCTCAGAGCTGCCTTCATGTGGCGTCTCGGCAATGCAGAACTGATAAAATACTGTAGTGCTGCAAAATGAGCCTCCTCCTCTTGTCCCTGCATCCAGCATCCATGTGGTTTAGGTAAGGATGTAAAAATTGCTACACCAAATAAAACAAATTAGAGTGCTTCTGTTTTCCTCTTGGCTCTTCTGACCAATGTGTGGGGTGAAAAATCTGCACCATGCCAGATTAGTGATGGAAGACATGTCTAGGCACAACATTCTTCCTTGCTCATGCACTCTGGCCACCATGATACCTGAAACACTGCCATTATCCATTCCTATTGCCATCAGTGTGTTTGATAACTTCGTGCCTGTATTTGCAGTCACCAGAATTTTGCAGTGCTCTAGGAGCAGAAGTGACTTAAGATTTTTGTCCTTAATAGCATTCCTGCTGTCAGATGGTAAAATACCCTGGAGAGATAGGTCTTATGTTATCATGAAGCCACAAATTACTTTCAAGATTTAAGGTGAGTGAAAGCAAGCACAACACAAATGTCAGCAACATCAGATACAGGTTTAACGACTTGCTTTCAGCTTTATTTAGTTTTGAACTTAACATGCACCATATATTAAAAATGTTGCTCCTCACCAAATTGTGATCAGTGGCCTGATTTTGATCTATCAGATGCAGTGACAGTGGATAACTCGAGCCCAAACACACCATTCACAGAGGAAGCTAAACCCACAACAAAGCAAGCAGGTTTGCTCTGTGATGGCACATCTCCTGGGACAGCTGACTTTGCCCACCCTTCTCTCCTATACTTGCTGCATCCTCCCTTCCCCTGGGGCAAGGCTTTGCCGCTAATTACTGCAGGATAACTATTTTTTGTGAGACTCATTTCCTTCATTTAGTGGAGATTGGATCTGTCTCAGTACAGCTCTGCCCATGGTCTACATGGCACCAGGGTGAACCTGGAGTAGTTTCTTCAGGAGGTGGTGGGTATGAGGGCAGACTTTCACAGAATCACAGAATCAGCTAGGTTGGAAAGGACCTTGAAGATCATCCAGTCCAACCATTAACCTAACACTGACAGTTCCCAACTACACCACATCCCTCAGCGCTATGTCAACCCGACTCCTAAACACCTCCAGGGATGGGGACTCCACCACCTCCCTGGGCAGCCCATTCCAACGCCCAACAACCCCTTCTGGAAAGAAATGCTTCCTAATATCTAGTCTAAACCTTCCCTGGCACCATTTTAGGCCATTACCTCTTGTCCTATCGCTTACTATTTGGTTAACGTGACTAATCCTCAGCCTCTGCAATGAGATCATCTAGTACAACCGTTAAAGACACCAGCTCCATCCCCAGCCCAATAACTCTTGTTATCAGAGCAGTCACTGTAACATGGATAAGGTTCAAGTCAGGCCCAGTAGCTTCAATGAGATTTTTATGCAATTATAACAAGAATTTGACAGACATGGTGAGCTACTAGTTGTGTATATGTGATCTGTCTCCTTGCTGTCCCAGGAGGTATTTACCAGCATAAAAATCAGTTAATGAGGAGAGTGTCACAAGCAGCAGCCTGCTGGTGCATGAGGGATGACCTGGGGAGCTCAGGGATGGATGAGCTATGTCCTTTCCACTTGCAAACTCCATCGATTTTGCCATGCCTAGTACTGCGAGGGAACATTGACTTCATTGAGGTTTTTTTGCTGAGCGCCACAGCAGAATTTATGTAGAGTTTTCTGTGAACATAGCAGGAGTGCTCAAAAGCTCACCCCATCTAAAGTGCCTCAGGTCCTTAAGGATAATGAGACATTTTCTGAGTGCACCTTTTTATTGTACCAATATTACGTTACAGGAAAAATGGAAGGGGGGAACTTAACACATAGCACCTGTCACAAGTTCTCTCCTTGAATTAGGCTCTCCTGCTTATAAAAATTTAATTGATTCCTAGCAGTTTATGTGCATGGTGCTCAGTGGGTGTTTTCTGTTCTCTTGCCAGCTACACGGTTACTTAGAAAGCGAGCCGCTCACGCTACAGCTGTTCATTGGGACTGCAGACGACCGCCTGCTGCGACCCCATGCTTTCTACCAGGTTCATCGAATCACTGGGAAGACCGTTTCCACCACCAGCCACGAAACAATACTTTCCAACACCAAAGTCCTGGAAATTCCACTTCTTCCAGAGAACAACATGAGAGCAATGTAAGACCCAGTCACTGAATCTGACTTCTCGCAGTTCCGTCTTGGTTGCTTCACTTGATTTCCTCTGTGTTTTTTGCAGGTTTTTGTACATAATTTTCCTTTTCCTATCTTTTTTTTTTTTTTTTAAGTCCTCTGTTATAGTAGGTTTTCACAATTTTACCAGGACAAATTGCCCCTAATCAGCTTAACAACAAAATGAACTTCACAAATATTTATGACAACTGATTGCTTTCATTCTAGAGTTTCAGCCAATGTGCTTATTTGCCATTTAAAATAAGTGCTCAGTTACCAAGCTGTAAATATCTCCTACCTCAGCTCCTGCATTTAGTTTCTAAATATGACACCTCTTGCTCCTATACGCACTAGCACAAGGAACAGGGCCTATTAAAATTTATCTTTGGATGTCAAAGGAAACTCTTAGAGAGCATTTCCAAGTACCCTAGTGTTTCTTTGAGATGAATAAAACCACTCTTATTTCTTACATAATAAATATCAGCATTTTTCACAGCATTTGTTTAGAAGCAAAGCTTCTAGAACTAAGAAGAGGAGTAAAAGTGATACAATTTACAAATTGGAGTTATTAAACTGGGGTAAGTTTAGTCCTGTGCAGAAATGCAGGCACGGATGTCTTAGGATCTTTGAATTAGTAGAAGTCTAAGTAATAATTAAATGCCCTGTAGGTCCATTACACACAGGAGAATTTCATAATAGGATTGAATATAAACGTTCAAATATCTCTCTGTGTATGTGACATATGTGACACCCTCCACATTACTTAATTTTGTCCTCTCTGCCTGCCTCGTTCAAGTGATCCTAGCCCTTATCTGAGGTGTCTGCCTTGAGAGGAATTTGTTCGTGCTTGCATGCATGTACAACTCTCGGTGTGTGTAAAAATGTGAATGTATTCATATTTATATATAGATGAGTGCACCTTTGTATGTATCTATAGGGAGATAGATAAGTAGGTAGATAGACAGAAAGCAAGCAAGAAATCCTGGCCCCGCTAAACTAAATACCATGGGAAAACCCTGGGGAGCTTACTAAAATTGCAGTTTCACTCCTTGTTATTCATACAGTTTTCCGTGCCTTAATGAAGTGAAAAACGGTATCAGACACCTGAAGTCCTTCCGCATGTGGTGGTTATTAGAAGTTGTTTTGCAGTGTCATGTACAACATGCCCCGGAGCGCCTCATGTAAATAGAAGAGCTAGAATGTGTTTAGCTGCATTGCCAGCTGGGCTTAGGGTGATCACTCAAGACCTGAGGACCTCTTGTCAGTGCATTGTGTTAAAAGTCATGACAAGCCTGCAAAATTATTGGCTCCATTTGCTGTCATCATAAGCTGGCATGACTCCATTGAGATTATTGAAATTTCACCAATTTGTACCCACACAATATTTATTTAGCCCTTTATTTATCCAGTTTGAATCACATTTTTGGCCACCTAGGAACACTATTACCATTTCAATCATCTTTCTCCCTAGAATAAAGGTAGTTACACAGTTTAGGAGCCAAGCTGAATATTTTTGTGACATGTGTGCCAAACTGTAGTAGAGCTCTCTCAAGAACCACAAACAATGCTTTGGCATATATGAGCCTTACACGTCAGTAGACTAAAACCTCATGTAGCACTAACAATGAATTGAAGTTTGGAGCCAAGGACTTTTCTCACACATACTTTGTGTATTCAGGCCTTGATTCAATGAAACATTGAAGCTCATCTGCACGTTTAAACTTTTGCACATTTAGCTACACCTATTGAGTCCAGATTTTAATGTCCATGACTTAACAAGCCTGAATTTAAATGCTTTTTCCCCTCTGAACTTTATTGTATCTGAACTAATAGTCATTAAGTACTTTTTTATTTATTTTGCAAGTGTTGCTATACGAGAGACAGTATTGAGAACTGTTTCTTTGTATCTCATGGATCTTCACGTAGAATTTTGACGTGGGTACAAATATTTCATAATTCTTATGGCTTCACCTGCTAATAAGTGTCGTTGAGAAGCTTTAATACTTTTATTAGTTTCTTGGATCATATCAGCAAGGTCCTTTTTGTTACTCTGAAATCCATACTTTAGAAAAAATGCAGATGAAAACCTTGCTGCCATAGTTCTTGTTTGCAGTTTGCTTCAGAACAGAGCTTCAAAGATCTGAAAGGGGAATTAAACTCTTTGAATACAAAATAGAATTAAACTATGCATATTCAGTGTAATAAAATACATGCCAGAGACCAGTACTCAGAAGAAATTGCCATGTAGGCTTTGGAGTCATGGCCAAAGCAGAGGTATTTTTGCAAAGGATTTTTGAGTGTGTATGTTTGTGTATCTTTTGTTCTGGGAACTTCCTCTATTGAAATTTACTTCGACAAAAATCCTGACTTGTAAACTCATCCAGGAGAAAACCAAACTTACAAAAAAAAAAAAAGGAGAGGTCAGAAATAGTAATAGCTCTATCTGAAAAAAAGCATGTTTTTCCCTAACATGGAGGGAAGACTCTGAGGTTAGGTTTGTTTCATGCAGAGCTTCAGCTCAGCGCTCAGCTTGGGAATATTTCCAACTCATTCAAATACAAACACATTGACAGTAGAACTGACCTCAGGGAGAGCTGTGCTCATTAATAAGCATTTTCAGGACTTTGCCCTGGAATAAAAATCATGTCAGATTTTTCTTCAAATTAGCTGTAACAAGTGAAATTGTAAGTAACCCCGTGTTCTAGGTTAGTAGCACTTCGTGCGCTACCCTCTCATCCCATTGAGTTTTCTAGTCTTGCTATTTCTTTGGGCTTTGGTTAATCTGTAAGTGCCATCCTTACAGGATGTGTTGTGGAGGAAGGATCTTTTAGATTTTCTTCCTCTGGGAAATGAAGTAACATCCTAAATTTGTGTGCTCAACAGCAGCTACTACCTGTTACTACAGATAGCCCCAACTTAGCTACTTGGGGATGCATGTACTAGGCTTAACAAAGTCTCCTGTGTTCGGCCTGGTCATTGGGCCTTGTCTGACTCAGATTTTAAGAAGGATGTACAGGAGAGAGGGAAAATATTGCAAGCTCATGAGTCTTCCTGAAGTGTGCTTGAAATGAATTAAATTGCTCCGTTTCCTTTTGGATAGCATCGACTGTGCTGGGATATTAAAGCTCCGAAACTCTGACATTGAGCTGCGCAAGGGAGAGACGGACATCGGTCGGAAGAACACGCGTGTGCGACTGGTCTTCAGGGTTCACATCCCGCAGGCCAATGGCAGGACCCTCTCCTTGCAAGTAGCCTCCAACCCCATTGAGTGCTGTAAGTAGCAATAAACATCCTTCTTTTGATGGGTATTGTGCCACCCCACAGGTGCTCTTTGTCCAGCGACATGCTCTACATTGCTGTTGCTTTACCTGTCTAGTTGGTGAGCCTTCATCTGCTTTCCAAAAGCATGTGATTTATGTTGAGGACAAAATATCCATGTCTTAGAAAAAAATGTGTAGCTTTGTGCATTGATTTCTATATGAAAGAACGCACTCAAACAAAAGTGGGGTGCACTTAAACTAATAGTAGACCTGGGAGTGACAAGCTATTTTCGTTTGGTGACTCCCTATCATACAGGTAACTGCTGTAGGAGTTTTGGAAAGCAGCTGTCACATCCTCTTCACTCTCTTGTCTCCCCATCATAAAGCAAAAACCTGCAAACAAAACCCCAGCCCCTTTGATGAAGAGCTAGAAATATACTAGAGCTGACACACTTGCAGAAGATGCCTGTGGCTTCAGAAAACCTCCAGAAACCAGCTTTCCGCACTGGGGTCTCTTTGATTGAACACACTGCTTTTTATCAGATACACTGGGGCACCCTCCAAAGACACCTATATCATTCTTGCTTCGTAAGCCTTGTCAGCCTCCCACACACAAAACCAAACCTATTTGCTTTGGGTAGCTTTAACACTCCAGCATAAGTGGTAGAAACTGAATTTTAGTCTAAGTCCCAATACTAATGCCGTCAGCTGGACGGACTGAAAGAGTTTTTTAAGGTTTTGTTGGATTCCACAAAGTGACTCTTTTCAATCCTGACAGGGTAGTGAGTAACTTAACAACTGGAGGGTGTGTGGGGGGTGAGTGCTGGGGGCATGGAGCAAAGGGGATGGGGAGGCAGGCTTGACCATCCCTAGCTCCATGCATGCTGAAGGATCATATCCGTGCTTGTCGCTGCATCATTGCCAAGCTGAAGTCCCACACAATGTGTCTGGCAGGTCCTGGAGTGTGTCAGTATTGGATCTTTTGGAGGCATGGTGATTTTTCAGGGATGGTCAGTAAAGAGACTGCAGGAAAGAGCATCCCTTCTTTCCTCTTGCAAAAGCAGTGGCATTGGTGACAGACTTTCAGAGCAGTGACACTCCATCCTTTCGCCTAGAGTAGCACCACTACCTCTCTGGTAGTTTGAGTCTTCAGGAGAAGCAGACGTTGTAGGAAAGAGTAGTGCTGTTAGACCAGCAGTGATAGCTTCTCTCCTTCACTGTCATTCATTTAAATAAACAAATGAGCATTGGCATTTGGAAGGGAGTTACATTAAAATAAGCCTGTGTTATTTATGAAGAATAGCAGAGCCTTCTTACCTATAGCAGGTAGACTGGCATAAAGCCCTGTCTTCTATCCAGGATATGTATGAGATGAGTAATTTCCCCTATTTCTTATTCAAGGGCAAGTTCTAGACTGACAGGCAAAGCAAAAAGTGTGAAGAGTCATGGTTTCATCCTGCTCCTGTTGAAGTTGATAAGAGCTTTTCAGTTGCTATATAGCAGGCTAAGGCATGATTTGAATACATCCTGAACTGGTCTGTGCAAAGGTGCCAAGCTGAGGAAGCCACTAAATATGAAGCTGATTGGATTTCTATCCAATGTGAACTGCACTTTTGATGGTTGTGTAATGAGCAAAAGCATAGTACGTGCCTCCTGAAAGGAGCGGAAAACAGGAGAAAAAATAAGTGCTAGTGTTATTTTCAGTGCAGAATGTGGAATAAGCTTGTGCCAAAAATTTCATGCATCTCTTAGTGCATGTGACACCAGGAGGAACCATGTAATCTGGATAAAATGTCACGTCATCCTTGAAGCACAGCCATGCTTGCTCCATGTCCCAGCTGGGGGGAATAAAATATGTGCCACGAGAATACCGGATTCTGTTTGCATGGATCCACGTGTGCTTTGGCACTCAAGTTCTGGTGGAAACACGCTCACTAAACTTTGAGCTTCTGCTGGATCATGAGGCCCCTGGCTGCTGCTGCTGCAAGACAGTTAGCAGAGTTGACAATACAGTTATAGTGACTTAGTTGTAGTGACTATAGTGGCACATTTTGGACATGAATGGTCATCTTGTCACATGTGCGTTATAAACGGCATATGTGTTACAGATAATGTAAGAGAAAATTATTTAAAATAATTTCAATAAAAATACACTTTTTGATATAGTACAGATCAAGTTGAGTTTTAAAACAGTTTGCTCTTTGTAAGCCTGTACTGCTAGGTTTGATAGCCCTATTGTTTACAATCAAGGCACTTGAAAACCAACCATGTTTCCTGCAAACCTTCTGACCTTTCTTTGTTTCTATATCAAACTCAGCTTATCTTATGAGGGTAAGCATTAAGTGACTTACTAATGCAGTATTTACTTATTTTTTTGTGTGTGTGTGTGTGTGTGTTTGTGGGTGCTTTTTTTTTTTTTGTCTTCTTTAAATTCTTCAGCTCAGAGATCTGCCCAAGAACTGCCTCTGGTGGAGAAGCAGAGTACTGACAGCTTTCCTGTTATTGGAGGGAAAAAAATGATACTGACTGGCCATAACTTTCTGCAAGACTCCAAAGTCATCTTTGTGGAGAAAGCACCAGGTATGTCTTTTCAATCTAGACTCCAGTCTGCCTTTTTTCCCTCATTTTAAAATCTCTGCCAAATGATGAAAGCATAAATACAGTAATGACATTTTCTTCTGCACGTAATATGTTTTCCATGTCACTGGGCAAAGCTGTGAAAGTGATCTGAGCTGTGCTTAATGCTGAGGTTTCACGCTATGGCAGGTGTAGTTACAGGTAGACAATAGCGACATTGAAAGTCAATGTTTGGCATTTGTTTTTGTAGCAAACCATGGCTGTGCTCGGTAGGACCTGTGAAGGGTGTTCAAAGCCTCTGGTGACGTGTCCCTGTAAAACCTGCAATATGATGCATTGTGTTAAACCTTTCTGTGATTTGCGGAAGAGGGAGTGGTGTTGCTGGTGGTATGTGTGCGCATCTGTGTCTTCTGTGGCAGTTAAGAATGGTGGCATTTACAGGCTGATGGCTGAGTAGGACTTGCAGCACACACATGTTCCTCTGAAGGACATATTTCTGGTTTACCTTGAGGACGGGGAGGACTGAACAAGGCTGCCCTCTCACCCAGTCCTTCTCCTGTGGTGCATTGGTGGTGGGACTGGTCCTCCTGGGAGGGGATCCCGGGCCAGGCTGATGCAGGGCAAGCGGCATGGGGCGGGAGCTGGGGCTGGAGCAGGAGGTGTCTGCGGGAGTGGTGGAGTCTCTGCAGGAATGGTGGGGTGATTGCAGGAGCAGTAGGACACAGGGTGGCAATGCATAACACGCATGAGTGCCCCCATGGGAAAAGGCAGTGGGAACAGAGCTGTGAGTCAAAGTCAGGCTCTGAAACGAGATCGTTAAGGGTAGTTTTGAGTCTTGTTTTGGAAAGGGTTTCCGTGGCGCTGGCACAAGCCATAGATTCCTCAGCTGCCAGCTGAAACACCCCACACCCCCCCCCCGAACTTTAAACAGTCTTGGGCGCTCCTCAAGCTGCCAGCGCTGGCTTTGACACTGCTCCTGTTTAACTCTCCATGTCCCCAAGATTCCCGGACTGTTCTCCTGCCCGTGACCCCTGCCAATGGTGCAGAAAGCCGGGCCACAGGAAGGAATGGCAAGGTGAGCAGGGGAGGCTCTGGAGGCAAACACATCCGCATCTTTGGGCTCAGAGGGCTCAGGGAAAGAGCAGAAGACTTCCCTGAAGTTCCCCATTAGAGTCCTGGGTTGGTGAGGTTTAAGTCACCAAAAGTGTGCATGGGACAGAGGTAATGCCCCAGCTCCTCAGTGAGAGCCAGTCAGCACTGTTCCTGTGACCCCCAAGCGCCCCACTGCGCACAGTTGGGCTATGGCTGTGAGATGAGCAAAACGCCCTTTTTATTTCTTAAGAAAGTTAAAAAGAGAAGGAAGAAAAGGTGGTATTGCAATTAAAAAAACCCTAAACTCTGCTCTTTGTGTAGCATGAGGGGAGGGAAGAATGTGACTGTCTACTTTATATTTAAATCTTCCTTTGCTGCACAGAAGTGAGTTAGTGTGACATGTCAGGAGCAAAGTACTCGATCTGTCTCATTACAGGAAGGAAACCACGTTAAAGGGTGCTTTCCTTCATACTTATTTTCTCTCCTCTTCCTTTATTGAGTTGGACAAATCTTATAGTATCATGTCCCAAAGGTTTATGACAGTGATGCTACTCGCCCACCAGTAGGTACCACAGTGTAGAGTTGAACACTGTCTCCGGTAGCATTAAATACACCAGAAGTAAGATGTTCACTGTATAGCTTTAAATTACAAAAATGCAAAATGGGGCCAGCCTTGTACTTCTTAACCAGATAGATGCCTGCCTTGAATAAAAGGGATTTGAGGCTGCACAAAGACAGCATAGAGATAGAAAATAATGTAAGTGACATTTTCTAAACATTGTGAGAGATGAAGGAGTGTACTTCTGCACACTGGGTGTGCTGATGAGAAAGAAAATTATCAAAAGGCCTTGCCTGTCACCCTGAAAAACTCCTGGGATGAACTCCTTGAGTGCATGGGTTGGCAGGATGGACCAGTGCAGGAGTGTCTCTTCTAAGTGAAAATACCACTGGAGATCTCCCTGCACTCTTCCCCCTGGCATGGAGTCAGGGGCAACACTGCAGGAGTCAGTGAGCTACTATGATTGAAGGGTAACCAAGATCATTAAGTCAGTATTGAAAGATCTGATGTGAAACTGTCCTGCCTGGTTTTAGTAGTCTCACAGTAGATTTGTGGCAGTTGCAGGGCAGTTCTGCCTCATGGAGGTACACTGCAGGGGCTGAGCCTTTAAAACTAAGAGTGTTCAGCATCTGCAGGAGCTGCAATTATGTCAGTAGGAATGGCACACAAAAAGCAAAGCTGCCAGCTGATCTGGGCTGAGCAATTTCTAAGTATCTGTGATGAGTTGTGTGTCCCATTGCCTAACAAAGAAGCACGATGCATCATTGTCTCAGGGGCACTCAATTTTTGAGCAGAGGCTCAATTTTTGAGCAGAGTCACTGTATGTAATGTCAAATGAACAAACATTACCAGCCTTCACTTTGTTAAACCAGCACACGGGTGTTTCTTTCCCTTTCAGTTCTTGCATGTCTATGGAAGTAGGTCAAGAGAGGGAACACCAGCGTAGTTTCTCTTTCTCTTAGAAAGCTGGTTATGAACTTCGGTGATTAGCTGGAGACACTCATTAGTTTTGCTGCTTTTGGTTTTGAATTAAAAATGTTAATCACGTTTCTAGTGGGTAGCAGCCAAACACAGCTATTACAAAGTAATAGGTCACAGGAATCATTGCAATCATAAAGAGAACGTATCTTTTATATAAAATTTAAATTTTATACTACATGAGCTCATGTCTTCAGTCCTCACTCCGGCAGAGTCCCCAAGCCAGGAGGCAGTCTCCAGGAACTCATCTCATTCATGCTAGTCTGCATACTTAATTGATTAATGCAAAGAGTTTGAGAACACTTTTTGTTTGCTTTTTGTTTTTTCTTCCCTTCTGTCTGAATAATTTCTTTAAGTCTGCCGAGTGCATTGTGGTCCGCTGAATGTTTTTCCAAGCATGAGTCCCAAGCTCTCCGTTTTCAGGGCTAACCCTCAGCTGTTGTAGTCTCTGGAGGAATGGCATTATCCTGGCCTCCTTGCGTGGGGAGTCTGTCTGAGCAGTGACTCATACAAGAGGGAATCCCTGAAGAATGATCAAATCAATCCTTCAGCCAGGGAGGCAGCGGCTTGGTGCTTTCAGCTTAACCCTTTAGTGGCTGCTTTTCAGCTGAGAAGCATATGAACCAGCAAAACATGCTTTGCAGCCCTGTGACTGCATCTCACAGAGGAGGAACGAGGCAGCGGAGGAATGAAGGCAAGGCGCACTGAAAGGACCATGGGAGGAGCGCTGTGAGGACCTCCTCTGAAAGGAGAACCCCTCATGGTGTGGTCCAGTGCTCAGGCAGAAGGCACCCCTTTGGATAAATAATGAGTCTGTTCAGAAGTGGACTAAAATTTGCTCAAGCTTTTTACAGTGCTATAAAAAGGTTCTCATATGTTGAAATGAGTCCTTATTTTATGGGATTTTGGTCAATGTTTTATTGCTTGCACATCAGACCATATTTTCCAGTGATGAACGATGGTATAAAACGACCGTCCAAGAAACCTAGAGGTAGTAAAAATGTGAATGCTGACTTTGCTTTGAGAGGTTCACTCTTTTAAATTTAGGATTTCCTTAGACTGTGGAGTCCCATGATGACTTTGTGTCTTACAAATTACACTAATTACTTCTTACTTTCTTTCACTTTCTGTCTCTCTTTGTAGTCATGCTTTTTTCTTGCTGAGTTTCAGGAGGGTCTTGTGAGTCTGTGTGTCATGGTTGTTGGGTCCTAGGTTTAGGACATCCAATACCAATCTGGTTTTCATCAGAAGAATTAGTACTTTGTAAAATATAAAAATGTCTGCAACTTCATACTGGCAAGGGCCCTTAGTGTCTGTATGCTGGTATGCACTGTGGAGGCAAGGTGTGTGTTTTAGTTACAAATGTAGATGAAATGAAGTTGATGTTTGTTAGCTATGGGAGGAGGTGTTTGGCTGGGAGGAACAAAATATTTCCTATCTAACACACTCATATGCAAGAGCACAGATAGTGATCTGGAATTATAATAAAAGACACTGATTTATTTACTTATCTTTTTAAAACTTGTTATGTCATTTCTAGATTGTAAATGTACCAGGCAACAAAAATCTTGAGGGAGGTTCAGAAAATACAGAGGTGTTTGGAGAGTATGTATTAAGGTCTGTGTATCTGTCAGCTACCTTTTTTTGGGTAACAGCTTCTACAAACACTATTTGTTTTCAGTGCTAGTTTTTGGAGGGTAATCTGAGTTACTGAACACAAAGCAGCACAAAAGCCTAGCAGAAACGACCAGACTACTGGCTCCTAGTATATCAGATTATGATTAGTGATCTATAAAACTGAGGGCAGTGGAAAAACTCCTAGTTTCTCTTCACTCCGTTCACAAAATGGTTCCGGTAACTGACGAGTGAAAGCTCACTGATGAGACACAAAGGCAATATCCCAAGCACCAAAGCACAGGAAAGTTATGGGTACGTTTTCCTGGCATGCTCTAGGATGTTGTAGAGTTCCCCAAGATACTTTGGGATTTAGAAAGTGTCTTGCACTAAGATCTGAAAGAGTTAATCTACCCCAAAAATCACTCCTTGCTCAAAAATTGCTCCTTGCTCCTGTAGCTAGAATGGTTTTGGCACTGGAACGAGCTTGAGTATTTATGGACTTCATGGGTTTGGCCAAGTCTAGACATACCTAAGAGATCAGGTTAAACTGACTGAAATCATTATTAGCAAGTTGCGATCTATGGGAAGAAATAGATATTTGGTGTATTATTATTATTAATTATCATTCAGTTGATTTTCCACTAGTTAAGTTAGAGCTCCAAACCCATTTCTTTGATTTTGTGCTTAGTGACCAGAGCTCAGTGCAAGAGTTTTAAAGATCGAAAAAGCAGAAATGTAACACCCAACTTCACTACAG